GCGCATCTACGGCGTCAAAGTAAGGAAGGTCATCCCCTTCTAAAGCTGAAAGGAGATGCCAGCCACACCATGGTTTTGGGGCGTCGGCCCTCCAGGAGGAGAGCCTGTTGATTGACAGAGGGAGGAGGGGAACAGTCTGGATCAGGCCGAATTGCCTAGCCACGCAATTCGGCAAATAAACCTCGGCCCCGGCCTTGGAGAGGCTGCAGTGAAGATCGCGCGCCACCAGGAAGGAGCCCCAGATTTCCCTCAAGTCATTCTCCGTCTCGCCATCAGGAATCACGGAGAGGTCGTGCGCCAGGAACAAAGGAAATGGCCGAGTAAGGCACACGCGAAATTCTAACCCAGTCCTCTCGGCCAAGTCATAGAAGAACTTATAGCAGAAGGCCGTCGCGTTGTGCTTCCTGGGGGCCCTGGCGAACGCATTGGCCAGCGGTTCGGTATTCTCAATTCTGACAGCCCCCCTCAGTTCTGGAAAGTAGGCCTGAAGCCAGAACTGAAAGGCCCAGAGTGGGCCGCCGTGTTTCGGCTTCATCCTGTCAGTAACGACGTCATGAAGCGTATGGTAGATATGGCCGAGGGGGAATGGATCGAGCGCTAGCCTTCCGTAAGCTAGAAGGGTACAAAATGATATGTAAATATGCACCGATCACAGAACACGAACTTGCATAGCCAGTATAGCAAGAACGCGGCATGCTCAACCTCACCCAGGGGGGCGATGGAATCATCATCGGCGTTGTCCTCCACGCCGAAGTTGCTGTAGAAGCTAGAGTAGTTGAGCATGTTCTTCGCCTTACTCCCAGCAAGCTTGGCGACCGTAGGCCCCGCGGCCTTAAAGCTCCCTTCAGCCTCAGGGGTGACCAGAGCGGCTTTTACTTCCACGCCGAGCGGGGAGAGGCCGAATAGGGTGGCCATGTCCAGAACGGTCGGCGTCATCATACCAAACCGAAGGTTCATGGTGTTCGTGGCCGATGATCAGAAACACAGAGCCACGGCCAACAGCGACCGATCCATGACAATCGGCCGGTCAAACAGCTTAATCAGGTGGTAGATCCCCTGATCCTTCCACTGCTGGCCGAAGAAATGCTCCATCCTCGGCAGCCAATTCCCCCAGTCTGGGGTCGAAGTTGGCCACTGCTGCTGCGGCCGAATGGCGCTCCAGTCCTGGTAGTCTCCTTGGTCGAAGGCCGAGAGATCCACCAGGTTGTCCCTAAGATGGACTGCCAGCCTCTCTGGCATGCCACCCTCCAAGGAAGGTTGGGGAACGCAGGAATCAGTAGCGGTGCCGTCATCATCGGTCCAGGGCATAATGATATTAGGCAAAACCAAGCCTTGGACCTCTCGGTAGATGTCCTCGAATTCGGTTTGGAAGGCCTGGGACCGAGCTACAACAGAGGAAGAGGTGCTGGATGCCATTGAGGGAGATTGAAGTCAAGTGTTTTGAAAAAGGGGGTTTGGAAAGAGAAGGATGAACACGAAGAACACCAGGTAGCCGAAAACTCAGAAAAAGGGGCAAAGAGTTTCTTGAGCTTTCTAAAAAATGCGAAAGGAACGACTAAAATCGTTGGTTACTAATGAGGAAATAACTGGGCAGAAAGAGGAGTGTTGAGATTTAGAGTTCAAAAGGGTTGGAGGATCGAGAGAAGAGTTTGGCAGAGTTTGGGTGTCTGAAAATTCTGAAAGCGTAAGGAAAGAATGAAGAAGTTTGGGTTTTTATATTGGCGCTAGAATTCGAAACGAAAGGGCATGGCTCTCTCGGGAGACGAAACGGTCTGACAGCGTGCTCGAATGCGCGATGACGTGTCGGAAGCCCAGAGGCCGTCGTTTCATTTGACGAGATAAAGTGACGGCTCGCGCGAATTGGGCAATGATGGCCTAAACGACGTGCCTGCGCATTAAATGTGCCAACCGACCTACACATTTAAGGCACCAACTGTCAATCACTTCAGAAGGAATGCAAAGGGTCCATCCCCTAGAGTCCATTCGGCCTCTACCCATGCCGCGACCGAAGAATCCGGGGATGTGGGGGCAATGTTTGTGCCTAATAAATCACGGTCATAAACTGGCCGAAGGGACTTCTTCTCGTCCCTAGCACCTACTCTTGAACTGAAACGTGGCGGTTCATTAGGCATTTTTCCTTCCTTAAAAACAAAAGAAAAGCTGCGAAGGCGGAATCCTCTCGGCCTCGCAACGGCCGAGGCCGAATGGTGTAAGAGACACGGCCGAAGATATCAAGGTTAAATCGCCACGTGGCAACAAGGTCCCACACTTCATTTAATGAAGTAACGCCTCTGACTGTTGCAGCAAACCCACTAGTCGCGAAAAGGCATTTAATGCACGAGGGAAGAAGGGAAGTGACTAAAGTCAGGGTTTGGTGAAGGAAATCAGAGTGGTTAGGCGCAAACATTCTTACAGCTTGAGAGATTAGGTCACCAGCTATCAGAGCATTAAGTGCGTCTCCACGGCCAGGGGTGTAGAACCCACGATCAGGGCGGCAGCCGAGATTTACCGGGATTTATGGGGTCACACCACCATGCTTCACGATCCCAAATGTCGATTGGACTACCCACTTGCTCTCATCAGGCTCCACCATGCGGATTTTCAGCCTCGATTACTCCTCCAGAGCTCTTCCTATAAATACCAAACTCGAACTATATTCAAAGGGTTTAAACACCAAACCAAAAGCCTCCCACGGAGCGAATTATATTTTCCTGTAATGCACTTTCAATACCTTTACTTGCTTTCCTAGGAGTAGCGATAGATTGTAAGGAAAATTCATTCATCAATATATCATACGACCCTCGATTTTTCGAGGCGCCGGAGCGCCATCTCTGTTACTCACACATCCACCCCATATATCATACGACCGTCGCTCTCTAAGCAACACGCCGGAGCACCGCTCAAAACCCACCACCAACGCCACCACCAAACGGCCTTGTAGCTCAGGTCGTGAACCTGACGGCCGAGATCAGTTCCTCTCTCGGCCACAATCGTTTGATTAGAAGTCGAACTCAAACAGGCGCACCATTAAACCATTTTATCCAAACACATCACCCCCTCGACGCACGGTAGACCGTGCTGCCACGCCCGCGCACAACCGCACCGCATCCAAAAGAAGGACGTCACGTGTTGATGCATATCCCCTCGGCTCGGAGCACCAGGCCATGAGATTTGCGCAGCCAACAGGTCCACTTACTAATTTCAAACATCCTCTTCCCTTAAAACAAAAGAAAATAAGGCCGACACTTCTACCGAAATTTCGGCAGAGTCTCCCTTGAAAAATGGACTTTACCAAAATTTTCAACCTATCAAAAACACAGTTTAAAATCACCAACAAACAAACAAGCCTCCGGCCTCATAACCAAACATTTTCTAAAACGTTATTGCTTTTGAACTCCTTTGCAAAACTTTACACCCGTAACAAATATTGTAACAGCAATAAGAGAAGACCTTTCTCCTTCCAAAATTCAAATCCACACTTAGAACAATACAAGCACAACTCAAACAGTTTATTTCGCGGCTACACCTAGGTTAAACCCCAGGCTACCTACGTACCCATTAGTAAGGGATCAAGCTACACGTAGTTCTTATGACCAAAAAGAGTCACAATTCAGAAACATACATATATTGTCCAAGTAAAATGGTGAGTAAAAATGGTTCCGTCCTGGGCAAGAGGTGTGACTACCCCGAATCCCGGCTCAAAGGAGGGCCCCAATTTTTATTAATTTTTTTTAATGTGAGCTTGTGCCAATTGCTTTTCTTTTTTATTTTTTGTTTTAATTTTTGTTATTTTTAGAATTAACAAAAGATAAAATAGGTAGTTATGTTTCATAAAAATAAGATAGATTATCTGCTTTTATTTTTATGTTTTTAAATATGAAAAATATAAATTCACCATATTATCCTCATTTAATTAATAATTTCATATATATATATATATATATATATATATATATATATATATTTATAAATGTGGTCAT